ATATTTATAAAGCTACAAGAGGCTTCCATACAAAGAGATAGATAGACAAGGCTGATTGCCAAGCAGTTATCAAAAAAATATTAAAGTATTTCAAGTATCAATGCACATACATACTTACATACATGTACATACACATACATACATACATACATGTATATATATACACATACACATACACATATTCAAAAAGCCAATAAACTCTTGTAGGTCCAACACAGAAAAGTCACATCTAAATCTAATCGAGCTATAAAACAGATAAACGATTTGCTCAAATAATGACAAGAATCGTTTTTTTTTTTTAACCTCGTCGAGTATATTTTGAACAAATTAATTAAATGGCACTCGGATTGATTAAAAACTCATTCGAGCACAGCTGGGGAGACACACGAGTATCAGAGCCTTCCCTAGATTGTCTGCGTATCAGATCAAAAGTCCCCCAACCCTCTTATGAATATATGTATATATATGTATATACATATATTGTATATATACCTATATATTGGCGCATCAAGTGTCGTGTGCTGTGCGAATCATTCGGAAGAGATAACACACCTCTCTCTGGGCTCTATAAAAGTAGCTCCACATCGATCGGCCTTCACACAATCCAATCCAATCCAATCGAGAATTATGGCAAGCAAAGCTCTCATCGCTCTGGCCGTGCTCCTGTGCGCCAACGCCGTCTTCGGCGTGAATATCATCAGCAAGTCGCAGTGGGGCGGCCGCTCGCCCAATGGCAAATCCACGCTCGCCAACAAGCTGAGCTACGCCGTCATCCACCACACCGCCGGCAATTACTGCACCACCCGCGCTGCCTGCGAGCAGCAGCTGCGCAACATCCAGGCCTACCACATGGACAGCCTCGGCTGGGCGGACATCGGCTACAACTTCCTGATCGGCGGCGATGGCAACGTGTACGAGGGTCGCGGCTGGAACGTGATGGGCGCCCATGCCACCAGCTGGAACGCCAAGTCCATTGGCATCTCCTTCCTGGGCAACTACAACAACGACAGACTCACCTCGGCCCAGATCTCAGCAGCCAAGAGCCTCCTGGCCGATGCAGTCTCCCGTGGCCAGCTCGTCTCCGGCTACACTCTGTACGGCCACCGCCAGGTCGGCTCCACCGAATGCCCCGGCACCAACATCTGGAACGAGATTCGCACCTGGGCCAACTGGAGGGCTTAAATGGACGCTCGACTACGTAGCTCAGGCTGCAAAATAAAAACTTTTTAAATATAATATATTTATGCGTAAGACTGGGCGTATATTTTTCAATGGGGGATTTTCGTGGAGGCCTTCCCCAGTAGCTAGAGATTGTTTACATATGCTTAAAGATCAGTTGGAATATATTTTGACATAAACAAATACTCAGATAGAATAGAATACCGTTGATTAACTAGAAGCTAATCTGATAAAAGAGTAGAATGATTATATATTGAATAAAAACTGATCAATAGGCTAAGCTGGACCTTTAGATAAGTATTATTTATATAACTTTATATTTATTAAGACAGCCAACTGAAATTGGCAAATTTGTAAATTTAAAGATTTTCCTGCTTATCGATTCATGCTGTGACTCAGCACTGGAGGACTGAAATTATTAGCCCAGTAAAGCTTAGGCCGTGTTTCCATGGAGCTCGCTTCTGAAATCCCCTGCGTTGAGTCATTCGCCGCTTAATCTCGACACATGTAAAGTTTATTGAATTTTCGTATAAGTTTTTATTATGCAGCATTTGGAAAAAAAAAAGTTCAGAATTTGAGGGAAATCCTTTCGCAGGCTTCTTAAGCCTTCCAGTTGGCCCAGGTGCGGATCTCGTTCCACAGGTTGGTGCCGGGGCATTCGGTGGCGCTGACCTGACGATGGCCGTATAGAGTATAGCCGGAGCTGATCTGGCCACGGGAGACGGCATCAGCCAAAATGCCCTTGGCAGCGCTGATCATCGCAGCGGTGGGTCGGTTGTTGTTGAAGTTGCCCAGGAAGGAGATGCCAATGGACTTGGAGTTCCAGTTGGTGGCATGGGCGCCCACCACGTTCCAGCCGCGACCCTCATAGACTGCGCCATCACCGCCGATCAGGAAGTTGTAGCCGATGTCRGSCCAGCCSAGGCTGTTCATGTGGTAGGACTGGATGTTGCGCAGCTCCTGGGCACAGGCATCGCGGGTGCTGCAGTAGTTGCCGGCGGTGTGGTGGATTACGGCATAGCCCAAGTAGTTGCCCAGAGTGGTCTTGCTGGTGGGGTTGCGTCCGCCCCAAGCTGCCTTGGAGACGACGGCAACGCCGAGGACGGCCTCGGCGCAGAGGAGCACAGCCAGAGCGATGATAACCTTGCTAACCATGGTGAATTGTTGACTACGAAAACTCAACTGATGTCGGCTATAACATCGCCTTTGCTTATATATGCCACAGGAGTTGAAAATGGCGTGAGATTTATCTATTTCTTAAATAATATTTAGTCTATCGGATGAGTTTGGCATTTTTTTATTTTAGTACAAATTTATGAATTGCGAGCAAATCTATCAAATTCAATTAATTTATAATAAAGATACGATTTGAAGCATTTATGGCACACACATGCCGGTAGTAAAAGGTCAGACAGTCTATTTTTGATTTCTTCAAAATACAATTGTTTATCTGTAAAAACTATTGTAATAATTGTATACACAGAAATACCATGAGCTTATTGAAAGTGGGTAAGTGAGGTATATTTAAGAATAAAATAAAATTAATTGTCATCTATAAATATGTGCGTGGATCCCCAATCATAATATTTGATAAAAGCATATATTCTTGTACACCCAATTCATAAATTAAAATTATGCAATCCCTAAGTATTAAAGTTGTTTTGGCTAGAAAGTTCCATTGTTTATTTTTATTTTTCATTTTTTTTCTTTTTTTTTTTTGTACTTTATTACTTTATAATAAATCGAGTATGCGAAAGACACTTCGTTAGTCCAAATCAGGCTGTCTAGTCGGGCACTCCCCTCTAGAGTGCTTTTACTTGATTACAAACAGATACGTAAGTTGATAATACGTTTATTAGTGAGCTTTTTACAACAAATAAATAAGAAGAAAAACAAAAACAATAATCATTTACAAATTCTATTTCAGTGTTGACATTTTTCGTGAATACCCTGTAGCTATTTGTACGAATAATAGAGGGTATACTCATACCTTATAAGAAGGCCTGAATAGCGAAGCAAGTCTCAGACTCCTAGCCTCCTCTATTGGATTTAAACAACGTCCATTTAATCCTTTTTACCGATGAGCCGCTCCATAAATATTCTTCCCTTCCAACTTATTCTATTTTGGGTAGGATGACAGTTGAACAATAAATCAGTCAATTATTTTAATCTACTATATATTTATTTATAAAAAATTTGTATTATTAATTATGAACATATTTAGTTGATTATATACAGGGTATTCCGAGCTGTGTTGAAAATTCGCGTCACACTGACTTAGTGAAAAATCAATCGAGTCTTTATGAAAACACGTGATGTTTGATTTAATGTTGACTTGCCGCATGATTTACTATATTTAGCTGTCCGCACCGTAAACACAATGGAAATCTTATCACTGATTTGCTCCAATAAATTCAGAATAATTCCATTATTTGGTTTGTGAATGAAATGGTCACCGGAATAAATATATATCAAAGCCACGCCCAGTGGCGTGTGGCCGCCCAAATTCTAGAAGACCCTTCGCAATTAAGTAGTTAGTTAATTATTAACTAGTGGATACCCTACATAACGGAAAAACTTCTTAGTTCCAATGACATTTAATAATTAATAATTAGTGCAAGTCTGCTACTTATTAAACATAGTTCTTAAATTCCATTAACTATAAGGTTACTTGGGATAATTTCATATTCAATATACGGAACTCTCCTCGCATTAGTACTCACAGACTTTTGATAAAGGCACGAATTGAATTCGTAATAGTTGCTTGAATATTCCAGCTAATGAGTTTAATGAGTATTCAGTGATTGTAATCCAAATTATCATAATCATAATAATTATTATTCGGATGATTATTTAATAAACGACAATTGTTACTATGATCTTTAACAAAATTAGTTCCTATTTTATAATATTTGACAATTACGATATAAAACAATTATATATTATTGCTATGCAAACTTATATTAAGATATTTACATTAAAATATTTACCATAAAGAGAAGAAAGTTCCGCCGCACTGCTCGTCTGAGGTCCAGATCAAGAATGTAACTGGAGAAGCAGAACACACTTGCCTTTATATAGGAAGCCAACTCTTCAAACTCCAACTCAAGGGCGCGCTCAAATTTTAACCTTGCTCTGAGATAAGCTGAATGTGAATGTGTGGGTGAGAAAAGCTGAAGGGGAACGTGTGGGTGAGAAATGCTTAAGCTGAATGCGTGAAAGAGTATTAGCAGCAATCTATACACATACATACACAGCTGAATTGTTCTCCTTCAGCCTCTCTTGTTCAAGGACTTGCCTTGATGATACATTTCGACAGAGAGGCATATAGAGGCAGGCAGACATTGACGTAGAGAGAGAGAGAGAGAGAGAGAGAGAGAGAGAGAGAGAGAGAGAGTGGCAAATCGGCAGTGAAGATACAAGTAAGAGACAGAGAGAGATAGAGAGAGAGAGGCGGAGAGAGACAGACAGCCATAGTTGACATGTGTAGATCAGTCTTGCTCATCACTCAGATCAGGAATACATACATATATACTCCCTATAAGGCTTGCCTGCTAAATGCACAAAAAAAAAAAAAAAAAAAGACAATCAATAATTAAATTCGTATTAATTTCATTTTAAACTAATATTTATTCGAATATCTTTGCATATTTAGTATACAGTATACATATAGATGTTGTACATACATAAAATATTGTTATATTTTGTAGTTTTCGTTATTTGTTTTGGATGTCTTTGAAGTGTGGTAATTGAAATAAAAAACAAAAGCTTGACAAAAACCTAAATGGAAATTGACATACTGTGTTTATAATATGCACAAAGTCTTACAGTTAGCTTAGAACATAAAAAGAGTATGCGTTCGCATAGACTTCCCTTTATTAGATTCGTGTAACATCCGGTGTGGCTCTCCTTTCTTTTCTTCACTTTACTTTCCTTTTTGGTAACAACTACTCGCGCTTAACTAGGTAAAATTCACATGATAATTAAATGAAAACCAGTGCTTCAATATACATATTAATATATAAATATATATATCATGGTAACTTGAAGAGCAAAATTCAGAGAATATTTATTCATAGGGATAGGGCTAACGCGTGTTCAAGTTTAACAACAATACGCGACGGCTAGAGGTATACATTATAATGATTTTCTATATTCAAAAACATTTGCCAATATTTTTTTTTGGTTTTTCTTTTTTTTTTTTTTTTTTTTTTTTTTTTTTGTATACAATATTAATAGAAAATTCAGAACAAAGTGTGGCAGAAACTAAACTGTTTGGATTTGTCCCTATGGGAGCGCACAGGGTATAGTGGGGTACGAGGAATGAATTGCAAACAAAATACAAATGTGCTAATGTTTGGGCAAGATATATATGTATATATAAAGAGAGAGAGAGAGATAGACAGGGGAGAGACAGGGAAGCGTGTGGGCGAAGGTCTCTGCTCACAACACAATAATCATGTAAACGCTTTAAAGAAATCACAACTTAGGCCTGACTCTCGTTGCGTCCAGGCACCTGGCCGGGTATGTTCACCTGGCGGCTGAGCGACGATTGCGATTCCCCCATTTGCGCATGGCCAGCAGCAGCAGCAGCAGCAGCTGCTGCGACATCGTTGTATGGCGGTGGCGGAACTGCACCTTCGATTACATCAATGCCAGCATCAATAACCTCCAGATCCACATCGTCGTCGTTGTTATCATCTGATACGTTGCCGCTGCCATGAGTCGCTTGCTCGCTGCGCCGCATTGGTGGCGTGTTGGCATTCACATGAACCGTATTGTTGTTGTTCGGCATGTCGTTGTTGTTGTCCAGGTTGTCATCCATATTGGGTGCAGCATTGCCAGCGCCAGCATTCAGTGCCACAAACAGTGGGGTATTGCCGCCACCGTCTGATTGAGCCTGCGCCCCGCCAGCCGCAGTCTCGTCCTCATTCTGATAGTTGGACATGGCCACCTGGTAGGACGGCGGTGGTGCCTGCTTCAGATATTGAGCAATTGCCTCATCATAGTTGGGCAGCAGAGTCGAATATGCTCGCTCCTCAGCTCCAAAGCCACCTCCGCCAATGCCACCGCGCACAGCCATCTCGGGCAGGACGCAGGGCAGCAAGCTGCGCAGATGCTGTTGCCGGAGCGTCAAGTACTTATAGCAGCGCCAGACGATGCCAATGCAATAGGCCTTAAGGAACACGATGCACACGAATACCACCAGCACAACCACAACGAGCTCCTCTGGGGGCAGCTCCAGCAGCTTCTCGCGCCACGGCAGCCGATGAGACTCGGCGATGAAACGGTGAATGGCCTGCAGATAGCATAGGTAACCAGCAGCAGTCAAACTACAAGCCAAGCAAAAGTAATTCATTAAAATATTTGCATATCAAATAGATTTTCAGGCCACTCACGTAGTTATAGCAAAGTCAAACAACTGCAAGCAGAAGAAGGGCAAAAGATGCGACGGCTTGCCCTTGATAGTTCCATAGATCATCATCAGGGTGATGGCTATCATGCAGGTGCACACCAGCCCGCCCATATCAAAGTTCTCTGGAAAGAGAGGATTGCCAATTAAATATTGATTGCCTGGAATTGAACTAGATCTGGTGCTTACGGTAACGCTTACGATAGTTGAAGGAATGATCACGATAGGCGTAGGGTGGATCCACTTTGCTCAACGGTGTGGGCAATGCCGGTGCATTCAGATCGACGGTAAAATCATGGCTGCCGCTCTCCAATTCATCCATCATTTCCGGATTGCGCCAAATGACAGCCAGCACGCTCAGAGCCAGAATATTTAAGAACTGTGGAAAAGACGGAGAATGAAGGAATATATAAATAAGTATAGTAGATAAGTTGAGCAATGAAGGAATATATAAATAAGTATAGTAGATAAGTTGAGCAATGAGGGGCCGATGGGAGTTCATTGATGTGAGTTTATCAGAGAGCTTAAGTTAAGAATTATGAAAAATGTGTGTAAGACATTTAGGGAGATTATTATTATAAACACTTGTACTTAGTCAATAACTTACAACAGTGATTATCTAACGACCTATAGAACAGAAGCACATACTGCCTTGGCTAAGCTTGGGCAGAGAGTATATTTTTCCGTTAGGAAGAGATTTCTCATAGTGTAAACATTAGTACGGTCTCTAGACTCCACCTCTTCGGAGATGTTATATGAGGCATAGGCGTTTTTTCACAGAACAAATATCTGTATATATATTTGCAAAGCAGGAATCAAAAATAGAATATGTGAATCTTAACTCTGAATGCTCTTTGTTTGCTCTTTTTGACAGCTGAGGCACAACTCTGAGGCGTCGACTGGCTCCAGGGTTTGCCAGTAGTTCATATGCTGCGTCTGCAGCCAGTTGAGGTAGTTGAGGAAGGTGTCGTAGGTGAACTCTTCGGCGATGTGGCAGTGCAGTCGATGATGATAGCAGCACTGGCCGTCATAGATCCAGCTGCGCTGCTGTGGGGGCTGCATGCCAGTGCGTTCCAGATGCTGCAGAAAGGCATCCCGATCGGCGCCATAGCAGAGTCGAGTCGTCGTATAGCCAATGCCGTCGTGCAGGCGCTGCAGCACTTCCGGCAGCGAGATAATGCGCTTTAGCTCAACGTACTGGCACTGCCGATCGTGCAGGCGGATGAGCAGCCAGGGGGGCACCAGAGCAAAGCGTACGCAGGCAATCAGCTGAGTGACATTCAGTCGCCGCTTGGGCCAATCGAAGTTGAGCCAGCGCACGGCGGACATGAAGACCTCCAGCTCGGAGTTGACACAAATGCCGTTCGAGCTTAGGAGTAGCAGAAGGGCGCGCAGGGGCAGCTGCAGGAACTCCTGCGAGGCGACAAGAGTCAGGAAGAAGCGACCCACACGCTGCAGCTGCGAGCGATGGGCACGTTCCATGCGCAAGAGTCGTGCCTCCAGGTAGAGCATCACCGCCGACTCCTCGGTGATGGCGTGCGCCAGGCAATGATCGCACTGCCTCTCCAGCTGCACTATCCGCAGAAAGCTGGCGGCACGTAGCACCTCCAGCAAGCCGAGTCGTGATAACAGCGGGCCATCCACAATCATCCACTCGTATATGAGGCGCAAGGCACGCGGCGTCACCCAATCTGCGGGCAGATCCACGTTCAGCGTGTTGCTGCCGATATCGCAGAAGAGACCCGAGTAGCACTGCAGCACGATGAGGTGAGCGTGCAGGCAGCTCTCGCCTATGGTAACCGTGGTATTTGTTTTTAGATGCTTTCTCACGAGCGTCATCAGCAAATCGTAGAGCGGCGGCTTATCTACTCTCACTTGAGTTCCCTCCGTCTCTGGCCACTCGTCGAGCGATGCGTAGCCCAGCGAGTGCAGTGAACGCTCTTCCAGGCTGTTGTATGGTTTCTCGGACAGGCACACGGGAGGCTGAGCGGATTCTGCCTCGATACCATCCGCCCATTCGCTGCCCTCGCCACACTCCGACTCCTCGCTCAGGGGATTATATCGGACAATAGATCTCCTCACTTCCCTTTCATCATCTGACTGCATCGCCTTGTAATCGCAGTGGACTCCCATGAGATGGGTAGCGGTGACCACATGTCCACCAATTGTTGTGGATCCGAAAACATTATACATCAAAAATTTATTTCCTAATAAATGTGGTTCACTTTTCAAAACATGTCAATTGTGGCAGCTGCTCCAAAAGATATTTGATTTGAGAGAACAGAAGTTGCTTGGGCAAATGGTTTATAAACTGAATTTCGATATACAGAAAACTATTTGCTTGCAGAAGAAAAAAAACAGCTATATAAATAATTACAATCAAGCGTCGCTAAAAAAAGATTTTGCTTTCGTTTTACTCTTTCACAATGGGAGTCAAGTCAGGCCAAAATGTACTCAGTTGAGTTGGACTTGTCTGTCAGAGATAACTGGACTGATATTGTTAAGCAAACAGTAAACAAAGCGAATGTTTACAGTTAGGGCTAGAAAAACAGGAAAGCATTGAAATGGAAAACTTCCAAATGCTAATACCTTATGCATGTGCAAGGTCAATGTAAATGGCGCATATAATATACATATATACATATACATATATCTAAAAGTATGCTTTTAATTAAATACAGTAATCATCATGACAAAAGCCTCTGCAATGCAGCCATAAACATATCAGTGTTGAAATTCTAGACCGTAATCCGACACTTTGCAATGCATCAGTAAAAATTACGATAAAACGTAAATAACTTCATTTAATCACGACGTAAGCGCGTGAATAACAACTGTAAATGCTTTCAATAAAACATAATCAGGTGATTTGGTAGGTGACTCGAATCGGGCATTGCGAATCAGTTAGCTGTGCATGCATACAGAAAACTTGATGAGTCCGCCGCAACGGCCGTGTGACGTCACAATAGTGCGTGGCGAAAGTTGGCAACCTTCGTCTAGCTCGTGCAACTTTCAAAGTCGAATCGAGTCGGCAACAGTTTGAGAGTCACTGCGTATGCAGCGACAATTGATTTTTCCCTTTCGTGTCTGACACTGAACAGGGTCAACTCGAATGGGTGTATGCGTGTCCCTGTATGACTGGGTGTGCGTGTGTGTGTGTGTATGTGCTTAGCTGCAGTCATGCGTAGGCAGTAAGATCAAGGATATTGCGACGTAATTTCGCTTACCAGATGCCAGAGGCCAATCATGAGCGTAGCGGTATGTACGTGCAGGCCAAAGCAGCAGGTCCATTCCTTATTGATGCGGCCATGGGTGTTGCTGATGCCATTGTTGTTGTTGTTGTGGTGATTGCGTTGCGGACCCATTTTGACACGGATCCTAAACATTGCACGTCCCACAGCCGAGCCGATGGCGGATATGCTGGCTGTGTCGCGTCGCAGTGAACTGTAGACGGGAAAAGTGAGCGTGGTTAGGCATTAATTATACTAGATGCATTCGAATTCAATGATGAGTATGTATCGCACAAACACAAACACATACACACACTCACACACATTCAATCACTTACACCCACTTGCAAATCTATGTAATGTGCATGTGTATTGGTTTTTGTGTATTTATTATTGTGACACTTTTTCACAGCAGAGTCTCTTGCATTTGCACTTCATTTATGCACGATTTCGTAAGATTGCGGTGGTTATTTTATATACATTTGGTTAGCGTACCTCAGATATATGCTTTTATGGAATTGTAGTTAATTTTTATTACTTATTTTGTCGCGCTTCAACGTTTTTACGAGCAGCGCTTAGATTCGCTATTAGCAAAAAACCCCTAGCAATTGACCTGTGTGACCGTTTGCCGACTGCTAGTCCCTTTATTATCGATGTACTCAAATTGGTAGGGCTAGTACGGTGGTGACAAGCAGCCCGCAATATTAATAGCTGAGTCAGGTCACAAAAAAAAAAAAACCAAAAACAAAAAATCAAAGTTATATAATAAAATAAAATAATTACAAATGACAAAAACGTTAGGTAATATTTAAAAAGAATTAAAAGTTAAGTCATGAAATCATTTAAAAACATATGAAGCTCTTGTTCCACGACCAATCGATTACACTATCGATAGCTCCATCGGCAAGCTGCTAGTAGAACATTTTATTTTGTTGTTGCTTCAGTTGCGTTCCGTCTCGTGTGCTGTTCTTTCGTAACGTTTAATTCATTTGTGTAACATTTTTATTTTGAATACCTTACGATATGGTGTTAATAAAGGAATATCGTGTTTGCATGCCGCTCACTGTTGAGGAGGTAAGTAAATACCGTATTTGCCAATTGATTAACAATTCAGCATTTCGCATTCACTCGCAGTACAAAATCGGTCAGCTGTATATGATTGCGCGCCACAGTCTGGAGCAATCGGACGAGGGCGAAGGCGTCGAGGTAATGGACAACAAGCCATGCGAAGATCCCGTTCACGGCAAGGGGCAGTACACGGAGAAGCGCATACACCTGTCCAAGTGCGATTGCCGAAAATCGTGTCCAAATATCCTTTTCTAATCATCTTTTCGACCTTTTCAGTCGGCTTCCTTACTGGATTCAGGCCATATGTCCGCGCGTCTTCTATGTGACGGAAAAATCATGGAATTACTATCCTTATACGCTAACAGGTAAGCGTACATATACGGCGGATTTATTTTTGTAGCAAGTTACTTCTATTTATATCATTAGCCTTTAAGTCCCTTGTGCCATATGGCAGACGCTTGACCTTTCCTGCGAAAGTATTATACAGTAGAAACTGCTTTGAGAGAATGGTTAGGGATTTAATTGAAGTTAGAACAGCAATTAGAAGATTAACAGTTTTCATAAATAGAAAAGTTTCTGAATTTATTTAATAGCATTAAATAGTATATTTTGGTACAGTGTTGCTGTCTGGAATTTTCTGTTTTCCGTCAACTTAGTTTTCACTGTATATATCCATGAGCTCATATCGCACTTGTCATACCCCAGATACGTCACAGTCACAGCCATTGATTACGTCTGATAACGCTTACAGCATAAATTTTGTAAGCATGACGGGATATACACTATATAGAGCGAGCGATACATATAGAGATTAGAGCTGCCCTCCGTGCCCAATTCAATTCAAACGACCCCATACCCTACAGTACCAGAGGTGCCTAAATTGCTAACAGCTGGGCCAATTCACATGAGGCTTTAAGCCAGTTGTAGCTCAATTGTCTGTAATACGTTAAAGTACTCACGATAAGCCCCGGAACATGAGAGCCGTAAACAGAGTTTGTTTAGACGGGGCTTCTCTTTAAACACATGTTTTGATTTGAGTGATTGATATGACTTTGGGATGTGGATACTTGGTCGAATCAACTCGTTATCGTTTTATTGATAAAATACAGCTAGAGGTCTCCCCTTTGCCTTCAAATATATTTTTTATTTATCATATCAGTTAGAGTTAAGTTAGCTAAAATACTTAAAATATAAGACTCAATGCAGAATATTTAAAATAATAAACAGAAACTGATTCCTAATTTGTTATTATTCCACAAATCCGCATCGATCCCATTATTTTCTGTTTTCTGTTATAAAACAAATTTCCAATGAATCGAAACAGATTTCCGATACGCACCCACGCAGCACCTCATTAATTCGTAGAGCTAATTGCCTGTCGGTACATTACATTTGTGTTTTTATAGAACTTAAGCTAAAAATAAACATACATCGATCGAATCAACAGATATATCATTTATTGCTTTTTCCCCTTTTATATTTGTATGTGCTCGACAAACTTTAAACAATTGGCAGAATACACGGTAATTATTTAAATTGAACTGAACTTTGATTGGACTCTATATCTTTATATTCTGTTTATTTATTTTGCAGTGTTCCTTCATACCAAAATTAAATGTTCTAATCAAGACTAAATATGAGAATAACAATGGCAGCACAGAGAATGTGAGTAGCATTAGCTTAACCTAAGCGAATTTCTTTTTATATAGGTACACATGTATATGATTTTATATAGTGTCTGGATCTGAGCGAAGATGAGTTGAAAGTTCGTATTGTGGATCATGTGGACATTGCATTTGATGAGCTAACGGGCAAGCATTACAAACGCGAAGAGGATCCAAAGTTCTTCAAGTCAGAAAAGACAAGTTACTTCATCTTATTTGCTAAATTCAATTTAATGCATGGCCAAACATAAACCTTATATCTAACCATTATCTATCGCCTTTGCAGATCGTGGTCCACTGATTGAGGGCTGGCGTGAAACGGATTCTCCTATCATGTGCTCCTACAAGGTCGTCCATGCCAGCTTCGAGGTGTGGGGCCTGCAAACCAAAGTGGAAGACTTCATACAGCGCGGCATTCGGGATATTTTGCTGCTGGGGCATCGTCAGGCGTTTGCCTGGCTGGACGAGTGGTACGGCATGACGCTGGAGGATGTGCGCATCTATGAGCGACAAAAGCAGGCCGAGACCAATGAGAAGGTTCAACAGAATACTAATCCACAGCCAGTAAAGGCGGCCGAGATCACGTCTCCAGACAAAGTCGAATCTTAGATTATATTTCTTGACCTATATTGAACTATTTGTGAATGGTATACCAAAATTGGAAAGTTTTAACTATTAGCTCAATAAGACATCATTATGCGAGCTTACAATTTTCTCAAGTCATAGTCATAAGAATATAAAACGCATTTCAAATGGTCCAAAAAAGCACAAAATACAGAAAATAATACAAAATATAAGTAGCTCGAAAACTATAGAAACCTGAAAGATGGAGGCAGCAGCACCATACTATATAGAACTATATTATGTTTTGTACATGATGTGCATAGGTTTAAATTTTGATGTTTGCTCAAAATGGTTTTTGTTAACTATATTCCTTAGTTATTTTTGATTTCGCTTTAGAATTACAAATGCGCTGTTGACTACAAAATGTACAAATAAACAATAAACATGAAACTACAAATGTAACCTGTCTAAGTAGCACAGGAGTATAAGTAAATATAGTTTTATTGCTTTAGTTAAACCAGATTAGATCAGAGCGATGTCCATTTGCAGCTAAAGACGTTATGCACAGTCAGAATTCGTTAGAAATTTAACTTTTTATAGACAAGCAGTTATTTTGGCCAAGCAAAGCCAAAAATTAAAGCAATTAGTATGCGTGTGTCGTAGTCAATAAATTTACGTATAGACGTATAGTAGTAAACAATTGTCTATGAACAATCAGCTGATCGGAATGATGCTGCTCTCGGCTATATGTATACTGACACACACACACACACTCACTGGCAGCTCCAGCTACTTATGATAGCAACCGTATTTTATAGCAACAATAAAAACTCTCGCTCTCTCTCGCACATTTGGCTCACACTGATGTCTCCCAACAGCTGATGGATGAGATCGCAGCGATGCCGCCAAAAAGCAAATAAAGCACAACACACAGAAAATATGTCAGCGTTTCGCATTTGCGCCTCATTTGAACTTCAAACGCGAGAAAAGTAGCACAGAGCGCGCGAGAGATACGGATGCCGCACAGTGATTAAAAAAGTAAACCGCAACTGCCCAGGCAGATTTAGAACATGTATTAAACATATGGAAACATACACTGTTATCTACTACATATATGGAAATATACACAAATCAGCTGCAATTCGCGCTGTACCCACAGAAGTCATGTAAGCTCCGTTAAACATCGCGAAGTTTACACGTGTTTCCGCAGAGTTCGCATCGACTACGTACCTGAGCTTGTGCCTGTGATTTCGGTGTGTTCCAGTGGCAATGAGCTATCAAAGCACATTTATTAATGAAAATTCATTTGCGTTTACTCTTCTGCTGCTCGTGGCTATTTTTGGCAGGTATTAATCCAAAAAAATAAAATAAAAAACAAAGAAATATATCTGTTTATAGGCAAAGTGAACTCAGCTCGCTTACACGGCGTATGCGCAATGTTTGCCGCATCTGTTGTAATATGAAGAAAATCTGTGAGCCTTTTGGACTGCGGGTTTTATTAGAGCTGCATATGTGCCCGTGTCAATATTTAACTGTTTCATAAATCAACCCGTTTTCATTCTTTGTTCTGTTTATCTACGCAAAGCAGCGCCAAATGCGGCTTATCGTGAATGCTCTTTTACACATATTTAAATAGAGTACCTGTAGATTAAGTTATTGTTTACACATGTATATAGTGTTTAAGGCAATGTAAGGGACATTCTGAGTACATTCTAATCTTTATCGATCAACACACTATATATACAAACATATTTGTAGCCAAAAATATTGAGACTTTGCATTTTAATTCACAATTTCCATATAATTGATGATAATAATAGATAATAGATTATTTGTTCTCATCAAATTTTCATGAATTTGACTTACAAAATTTCCATTAGAAAAATGTTTTTGTTAAAAAATAATTTTATTTCATATACAAAGAGAATTATTTCAAAGTTTTTAAATTTTAAGTGAATTTACTTAAAGATGTTAAAACTTACTTTGTCTCCATCCCTCTCCATCTCTCACTTTCACTCCCATTCACTCGCTCTCACTCTCACAGAGATTCTCTTAGAGCCAGACTTTTTATCTTGAATTTCCTAACTATAAAATTTTAAATAATTTTTATTGTTATATTATTCAGTCTTCAAAAGTTCCTCTATCAAAAATTTTAATTACAAACAGCTCATGAAGCTCAGTCTTAATGGGTTTTTCGTTGTCTTGGCAACACCAAAGTTTCATTAATCTTAGTGTGTTGGGTTATTTATGTTTCTCTCTTGAGATTTATGCTTTCTGGCTTTCTCATATTCGCCGTAAGCGATTCGAACTATCTTGCTTCTGTGCGCGCTGGCATAATAGATAATAGATCTCTGGCTTGTGTTCATTTGATTTGAGCGATATGCTTAAATTATCTTAGCGTTTGGTCTATTTTAAGACTACGAAAATAAAACCTTAACATATGACAGACAGATAAATATCATTAGATATACCAACCATATTTACTTACATTCTATTTTTAAATTTATGTACTCTGGAATTTTGTTAGTTGTATAGAAAAGTAATCGTAGTAGAAGAGTGAATAAATACCCTTAATAATATATAATTCATAGGATATCTGTCAACAGATCTCTATTCAAGATATATTCTTCACCAGCTTTTAGTTAGGGCCTAGCGTATAGAGTATGTTGACCTCTGGCTAAAAAAGCCAAGTCATTTAATTGAAAACCAATTGAATGTTGTTACGCGACTGATTTCGAAGTGGATTTCATTGCGATGGGCAAAGTGATAAACAAGTTTCGAGTGTCTGCGCAGTAATTTTAGGCAGGCAATCGAATTCTTTATATTTCAAATAGATCCATTTTTTTTTTAGATCTTGTTTGAATCATAAAATTAATTTTAGAAATTTAAGTACGTAACTGACCTAGAAGCAAACATAATAATGATAATAAAAAGGCAACCATTATTTTCATTTTATGTTAATGATTTTTCAATTGACCTAACAAAAATGTGACCAAATCGAATGGCATGAAGCACATTTCAATTGAAGTTGAATGCGAATTGAATTCTGCGGTGCTTCAATAGAAAAATAAAGTACATATATTATAAATTTTTGTTTTTGTTCTTTAGATCTATAACTAAATTATTATAGAACGAGTGGCACAACTTTTTGTTTTTCATTTGGAATTTGATTTGTCTTAGCTATCGATATGCATAAATAAATGTCTACAATGTCTATATTTCCATAAAAATATCGAAAAAATTCTTAATTCTATTAAAATATATATTATTTATATGCTAAAAAATTTGAGCTACAGATTAATTCATGGGTCCTAAGAAGGGTCGACGAATGCACAAGAATCCGAAAAATACTGAAAAAATATTACTAAATTCCAAAAAACTTTGTTGCCCGATTTCCCAATATCAACATATCATTTTCGATAGGTACTTTTGAGGTCTTTCCACCTACATTCAAAAATATAGGTTCCAAATTTATTTTGAATTTTTGGCCAAAATTGTAAAGAAACCCCTGAACATATTGACCAAAATCGGATCGAGTCGAAAAGTTGTTAAGCCTCTAACTTTGGTACTTCATATTTTGTGGCCTTTTCATCCGATTTTCAAGTGGAATGCCTTGTTCGACGCGTATTCGTTATTGCATACAAAAATATTCCTGGACTTATGAACTTTCGGATGAAKGCACACAAAACCTAAAAATACCGAAAAAATACTTTAAAAAATACCAAATATCATTGCACAGCTCTATCTCGGGTATTTGTTGCCCGATTTCC